TATATGAGAGAAACACACAGTGTAGATCTTACTCGAATTTTCTGTTTACGTCTGGTCGCCGCGCCGTTCTCTGTTTTTCCAGACTATTCCACTCGCTCTCGAATGGGGGCGGGCATATTAGTCACTTTAGGACAAGTCCACACGGGTCCGCAACAGTATTAACTAACACAATTAAGTACATACTTGATTACATAATTAATTAATATTTGGGCGGAAATAATTGTGGTATATTTAATTAATTGTATACTCTTTTAATGAGATTTAAATAGTTTTCTTTTTGTATACAAATGAGCTATTAATATTATCGTTCCTAGTACCTGTACATTTTGTACATTTTTTGCTTTAAAAACAATCTAAAATGTCAATATTCCATAGTTATTGACATTTGTCTGAGAATGATAAATGAGGTCTAAATTATAAGAAAAGGCATTTTCTACGAGCAAATGGTAAAAAATGGTATAATACAATTTGATATACAGTTGAATTGTGCATCTAAAACAAGTGTGCAAAGTTAAACAATTTATTGCCGTTTAAAGCAAGACATTATTTAATATAAATTTTTACACACTCTGTATGAAGAATAATACTATTCTTATTATTGCATCACAATAACTGATCAATAAATAAACTTTAGTAAATATTTATAGTATTAAAAACTTTTACTTATAATATACCCTTGCAGACAGGGGCGTAGATAGGTGTATGCTATGGGGGTGGTACTATGATTAAGTCGCAAAAAAAATCACCGTCGGAATTTTTTTGTCGAATTAAAACGACGGCGATTTTTTTGTCTAAACATAACACAAAAATTAAAATATAGATTTGTAAATAACATACACAAAAATGAAACAACGACGTTTATTATTCGTATGTCTCGAAGTCTGTGGACCTTTGTATGCCTCGATAACATATTGGTGCAGATTATTTTCACCCAAACAAATAATAACCCAAACTATACATTGATGCGATTGTCTATGAACTTTCTGAAGGTCACAGAAACCTGAACGCGTAATTCGGTGTTCTTCGCATCTGTTGTAGTTAATTTCCAGACAGAGCGTTTATGCGGCGAGGCTTGGGGTGGATGTGACTTAGTACTGAAAGCCATTCTGTGGGTTTAATAACATCAGCACTCTCATTGTATTATTGAGTTGTGCGTCTATTTTGTGGACATGTGGACTATTGAGCCATACCGGTATGCACAGTATTCAGCAGCTGAGTAGACGAGACCCAGAGCTGACGAGCGCAGAGTAGAAATCAAGTTTCGTACCTATACGGCCTTGATGTTTGTAATGAATCTTCTGTCCATTTCTACCGCCAGTAATTTTCTGACGTTATTCTCCGTTAACCTTCATGTAAATAACCTCCTCCCAAATAACAGATTGCTCTTGATTATAACATATATCCTTAGTTTTATGTCTTTACCTATTTTGTTACTCCAGAGTATGTTATTTAGGCATATTATTGCATTTCTTGCCTATTGTTATCGAGCTTATTTTGTTGTCGTCTTTCTCGGATTTATCGAAAGTAATGCTCTTAAGTATTTGTATTCGTTACATGTTTGTATATCATCATTCTTCTTCTTATAGTACCATCTTCTAATGAAGGTTGGCAACAATCGCGGCGAAACACTGTCTGTCCTGTGCAGCTCGATACAGTTCGTGTGAGTTCAGTCCAGTCCACGTTTATATAATCATTATCCAGTTGTATTGTTGTTTGATCCGATCCAACGCAAAGATTGTAGCGTTTTTTAAACAACTACCACTGCGAACGGCAGCTTTTCATCGGAGAGCAGTCGTAGATAAGGTATTTCACTGGAAAGAAAACTAATTAATAACAATAAACAAAAGAAATACATGATATTGGGCGCCAGGCATGTACAGAGAAAGAAAACACAGTTGTATATTACTTAAAACTAATGACTATATTTCATGATGTTCTTTGCTGGTACATGACATTGTAGAATTCTAATAAATATATAGTGGTTATATGTCAAGAAAAATGGTGTTAAGAGTTGTACTAAATATCTATGAAAGTAATACCATTACAAGACGTAATGTAATGAAACCTAAGATCTAAATCATATTTTAAATAATATTATCGACATGAATGTTCTTAACAATCTAACCATTAAACATAGTCTGTACGATATTACTTAAGATGTACGTTATTGTTTAAGACTGAAAATGTTTTAAATGTTAAATGTAAAACTAGAACTTAAATCTACACTTAGCTGTTCTTTATGTAATCTTGCTTCAAACAGTAGCAGCGTGAGGTGATCTCGCATCTCTGTACTGTCTGTCGTCGATCCTGTTGGCCAAAACAACAAAAGGGGCCAGAATGAAGACACCATGAATCAATAGAACCGTAGCTACTGACTGGGCTTAGAAATGGGAGCGACGCAGCATGGGGCTTACGCTGTATTCATACTGTGGCAATATGGGGACACTACCCGTACTTTGGAACACTACTAGGACCTGGGATAATGTCCGTAACCTGGACCATCACCTTGGACCATAACCTTGGACACAGTCCGTCCATAAGATAACGGTACAGGGGAACACTACCCGTACCTTGGATACTACTAGGACCTTGGATAATGCCCGTACCTTGTAAATAGTCCGTACCTTGGACCCTCGAATTACTTCCGAGGGCTCAATAATAAACAAAAAAACTGTCCTTTCTTCCATGTAACATTCTGGAGGACAAAAGAAAAGGGACGCCAACGTGCCAGCAAAATACAAATACAATTTAAGTTGGGACATCCAAAACTCTACCCTGTTAGTTTGAAATAGCAGCTGATTCAAATTATACAGCAAGATTTAAATAATCACCATTTCTAAAAGCCGGGATACAACAGAGCGGCAAAACAAAGTGAGGTTAAGCACGGAGAGAGTTGACAGAAGCGATGTTGACAGCGCCTCCTGAGAGCGATAACAGGGTTGTGTCAAACGATAACAGGGTTGGCGACTAGGGAACGTAAAAATTACGCCAAGCGTGCCAAATAAATTATCAGGCTTGAACGATACGGAATCCGATGACGATACGCCAGACATCATATATATCATATATAAAAAAGACATGTAACGAACTAAAAACGTGACAAGATATTTAGTTTTTGTCATGTTCATCTCCAGTCCCCAAACTTGGTATTAATCTTTAAGTTTGCGTGTCATATATTCCAAGTCGTCTTTGTCTCGTGAACAAATAATCTAGTCGTCAGCGAATTGCAAAGTGTATAAGAAAGAATCTTCACTTATTGGTATGTCCATGCCTCTACATCTGCTTTTCCACTGTTTTAAAACTTTTTAACTAATCTAAAATACTTTTTTAAGAATCTAAATCAATAAATATTTTTTCATTTCTCCAACCTTTTTTAAATTAAATTTCAGGTATATTTTTCAATGACTTACTTTTCTTAATCACCCTTGGGCAATTTAGTATAGCAATCTAGTAAAATTTCATTAATAAGCTACATATTTGTTTTTGACTTAGTTTGCTACGGTTAAATACAAAACACTAATTAATTAATTAATTTTAATTCTATGATAGTAATTTTGGTTTTGTCAGTTCTGTTGGAGCACTATGTTAGAATGCACTGGGCTGTAGTAACACTTTTCACTACACTAGTTCAAATCAGTTCAAATGGTTTTGTTCATTTCAGTCTTCTAACTAAGCCATCAAGACGGTTTATGTATGAGAGCAACACACAGTGTAGATCTTACTCGAATTTTCTGTTTACGTCTGGTCGCTGCGCCGTTCTCTGTTTTTCCAGACTATTCCACTCGCTCCCGAATGGGGGCGGGCATATTAGTCACTTTAGGACAAGTCCACACGGGTCCGCAACAGCATTAACTAACACAATTAAGTACATACTTGATTACATAATTAATTAATATTTGGGCGGAAATAATTGTGGTATATTTTATTAATTGTATACTCTTTTAATGAGATTTAAATAGTTTTCTTTTTGTATGCAAATGAGCTATTAATATTATCGTTCTTAGTACCTGTACATTTTATACATTTTTTGCTTTAAAAACAATCTAAAATGTCAATATTCCATGGTTATTGACATTTGTCTGAGAGTGATAAATGAGGTCTAAATTATAAGAAAAGGCATTTTCTACGAGCAAATGGTAAAAAATGGTATAATACAGTTTGATATACAATTGAATTGTGCATCTAATTCTCCTAAAATATAGAGGATATTCCATTTAAGTTAAACAATTTATTGCCGTTTAAAGCAAGACATTATTTAAAATAAATTTTTACACACTCTGTATGAAGAATAATACTATTCTTATTATTGCATCACAATAACTGATCAATAAATAAACTTTAGTAAATATTTATAGTATTAAAAACTTTTACTTATAATATACCCTTGCAGAAATAAAGCATTAAAATTTTTACTGCAATTTCACAAAATTGAAAATATTTCAAAAACGGTAAGGTTTAAGTGTGATAAATCTCAATCAAATTTACCTTTATTTTAATCGTAGAAACTAAAAATGTATTAATATACAGGGTGTTTTATTCAAAAAATGTAACTTTGATATTTTTTTATTTATTTGGAACACTCTGTATTTTGTAAAAATATAAAAAATTATTGTATATATATTGTTTATAGGAAATATAATATAGGATAGGCCCGTTCATAGGCTATAGGAAATAGTCCTTCAACGGATCCAAAACTTACATTTTGTAAAAATCTAATTAAAAAAGTCTGGACTTTTTGCTACAAAACTCCGTGTAGTATGTGGTGAACTGTATATACTGGCTTTTAGTCGATTCGTTTATTAGTGAAATCGATATGCACTGATTTTTTTTTTCGTTCAATTTAAACTGTCGACAGTTTGTAACTTTTCGGTTAACTTGGTATTTTTGTCTGCAGTGGATAGAATTGCAGTATCATCTGCAAATATAGCATTTCGGCATTTTCGTTCAGTGACTATATCATCGTTCAATGACTATATATGGTTATATTTTATTCATTCTAGAGCTATCCACGGCCGGCACGGCAGGCCTCAGCCAATCCGAGCCGGTTTCCCCTTTAGCCGGCCCCAGCAAAGGGGAGGCCAAGGCGCCCCTGGCGGAACCGGATAGCGAGTCTCCGGCCAGCGAGATGCCCCCCTCGGAAATAGCGGCCGAGGAGGAACACGGCAAGGCCCAGGGAAAGGAGGAGACGAAGAAGCGCAAATCGGAAACGGGTGAAGGCGACGAGGCCAAAAGCAACGATGTTTGTCCGTGGGAGGACGAGTAAGTACGTTGCCGATCATGCGGAGGGGATCACTAAAAGTGTTAAATTATCGTTGTCCTTAAAGATAGATAAGGTTTAATTTGCAAGTCAGTTGTTTTATCAGCAAATCGAAGACCAATATCTGAAGAAAAAAGAATTATCTCCTTTTCAGTGTAAGATTTTAATTATTTTTTTTTATTTTAACGTGTAAGATGATCGAGATAATACTCTGGCAATTCGACCATGTCAAAAACATTCAAAAACTGGTATTGATTAATAGTAGTTATTGTTTTTTAAACATTTTGAGGAGAATTATAAAAAATGTCAGAAGTGGCATATTCTGACACTCGCAAAACAGACAGGTATTAGTTAGTTTTAATTAAATAGTAAGGGTTTAAATACAAAATTTACGGGTAACCTCATTCTGAAGCATGCTAATAGTACTTTACCTGCCTGATTTTGTTTGTTCTTGACTATATAGTGGGTTGAACAGTAGAGCTTCTACTTGACATGATGTTGTCTCGTATAAGATATAGCCTAAAGTCTTTTCTAAATCATTTCATAAAAATTTTAGCCACAATTTTTTCCATTTCTTTTCTTGTAATGACATAATCCAAAAATTATGCTGTTGTGCGTATTAGGTGAATTCATATATATTTCGTGGCTACGCTCACCCCTATAACTTTTTTTCCGATGAAAAAACGATATTTCATATGTTAGTATATGACATAAATTAGTATTGATTGGCGTATTCAATTGCTTTTGGTCGGTTCCTGTTTCCCGGAAACGACTACAACTTTTGATTTTTAAATGGCACCCTCAGCATATTTCTGTTTTATTCATTGGATAAATGACACTCTGAATAGATGACATATCATATGTCAAATTTTGACATTTCCACTTAAAGAAAAATCATATTTGAAATTTCAATCTAGAGTGCCATCATAGCTGTGTTAAAAACACTAATTTTTAATTAAGAAGCCTAGGAAAAATAGACTTGATCGTCTAGTGTTTTTCGTGTCTTGTCCTATGGCCGTTTAAGAGATGCCCAAATCGTATTTTTAATCATATCTCAATTTTTTCAAATGGAACAAGGGTGACTCATCTGGAAATATAGCATATTTGGAAAAGGCATTTTTTTACGAATAATTTGGTACCACACACTTGGTATTTCGAGTCAAATTTTCGTTATGAACCACATGTTACAATTTCAAATAAACCATATGCGAAAATGTCAAAAGTTGACATATGACATGTCATTATATTCAGAGTGTCATTTTCTATCGAATAAAGTAAAAAAATACCGAGGACGTCATTTAAAAATGAAAATTTGTAGTCATTTCCGGTGAAACAGGGACCGACCAAAAACAATTGAATACTTTAATCAATCTTAATTTATGTCATATACTAACACAGCAAATATCGTTTTTTTGTTTGAAAAAATAAAAAACTTATAGGGGTGAGCCATTTTCGAGACGCACCCGATATATTGGATTTAAGAACTCGTGGGAATTTTTAGATAAAAAAACTGGAAATTTTGACCATCTTCGTGGGAAAATTCTATTTCAGAAAGTTGGCAAAACTTTATACAGGGTGGCGCCTCTCATATGCCTCGGAAGCTCCAAGGAGAACGGTAGTTTATATCGAAATGAAATTTTGGCAGCATATGTAGGTTAACTGAAAGCATTTTATAAAAATATATAGAATTATACAGGGTGTCCCCAAAAAAAGTTACACATCAAAGTTGTGTTTTTTCTAATGGAACACCTTATATATTAATTGATTTTCGAATTCTAGGAAAAAAATAAAAGAGTTCTATTAAAGAAGCATATACCTAAAATCTAAGGATTTTGACATATTTCACATTTTGTGAAAATGAAGAGTAAATTTTAAATTTCGATAACAGCTATCTAAATTTTAGTTGACCCTGTATAGCCTGATATTTAATTACAGTAACCATTGTATGTTAAACCAAATTTAAATTAGACCAGAAAAGTTATACAGGGTGAGATAAAATTAATATGAAACATTAGTCACTTTTAAAAGCCAATAAGTTACTTTATACAAGTCCTTTATTTTAAATGGAACACCCAGTATACTTTTTCGTTGTTCAATGGGGAATTTATATATCTTCAAAATATTATTAAGGTTGCCTACCCCTCAGACAAAGCTTTTCCCAGGTATTTTAATTTTTATGATTTTGCGTCAGTAAATCTTTGTTATTTGAAAAAATCTATCTTTTGTTAATTTAACAAACAACAAATACCTTTTGTTAATTTAACAAAAATTAAAGATTGTAGAGTAAAATACTCAAGGGTAATAAAAAGATACATGTTTAAAACATATTTTAATTATTACAGAATTAAAACTGGATATAAACCTATAATTATGCGACAAAAAATAGCTAGATTAAATCAAATGCTCAAAAGGCTTCCTTTCCTGTTAACTGCATAAAATGATTGTCTTTTTAAAAGGATCTTTTCATTTTAAAAGGCATTTATGTGGAGTTCTACCTCGAAAAGCAGCTACAATAATTTCTCTCATGTTGTCGACACTAGTTTTGTAGGCACTATCTTTAACATATCCCCGTAAAAAAACCAAACTAGATAAAATCAGGAGCATTTAAGTATTCTATTAAAAAACTAATAGAATCATATCAATTCTCTCTGCTGTAGAATAAGTTTGCATTTTCGGCATATTTCTGAGTTTTTTTTTGTTTTAACTGATACAGTTGTTAAAGTTTGACTAATTAGACAGCTATGTTGAAGTAACGTCAGACATATCATAGACACCTAGATTTTATCAAATAATAAAGATCTACTCGGATCAAATCATGTATATGAAAATATTTAGGAAAATCTTTGTTTGAGGGGTAGGCAACCTTAATAGTTTTTTTTGAAAAGACATGAATTCTCCATTGCATATCGGAATAATATACTGGGTGTTCCATTTAAAATAAGAGAGTAACATGCTTTTAAAGATGACCAATCAATATTTCAATATTAATTTTGTCCTACCCTGTATAACTTTTTGGATCAAGTTTTAATTTGATTTAAAGTACAATAAAAATACAAAAATAAGACCAATTATTACTTATGTAATAATAGTAATAAAAAAGTTATAGGGCTGAGCCACCTTTGACGCACCCGGTCGTCAACATAATACAGATATTATGTTTTTAACAGAAAATTTTAAAAATGTATCAAACAAATTTCGAATTATACATTTCAATATTTTTTGCGAAAAAACCCTCACAGGTGTTCCTGGGATCGAAATACACCTTCCATAGAAAAATTCACCATGTATTCGCGGAATGGAGGTATAAGAATAATGTCTGATACCAACCGAAGATATGTATTTAGTTGCGGTAATGCTAGTTTGAATTTACTCACTTTGCGACTAGAAATGCTTATACGATAACTATTTTTTACGAATAATACATGAATTTAGAATTTCCCACGAATTTGTTTTTTTTTATTTTGGATTAAAATTTCCCTTTTCCCTCTGGATCTCGAAATTACCAACGAATCGGGGAAAATATCACTGTATGTATATCTGACTGATGTGTTAAAGTCATCCGGAAAATCCAGATATTTATATGTATACATGTCAATAATTTTCATAACTAATATTCCATTAAGTGATCCTCTCCAATTGATCGGCAATTCCTAAATAAACTTTAAAGTCTTCAAGTAGGAGGTAATCCAGAAGGGTGTGAAAAGGGTGGAGGACCTACAATTCGTTTCCTTTCAGAGAAAGTTGTAAGGTCGACACACCGTTCGTCAAAACGTACGCCACCCTAGGATACCTCTAACTGTGGATCATCACAGTAGTCACCGGGCCATATATGTATGGCTGTAAATTATTTAGCTTAGGTGAAGAAAGTGAATGAAGAGTAGGTTATAATGTTTTAATGCTTGTTGTTTGGGAAACGGATAAAATGTCATTTGGATTTTGATATATCGCTGCGGAAATGACGAAAAAGCGAAAACACAATATTTTAATATTACTATTTCGGACTGTTAAATAAAAAAAAAACTATTTTTTAGTATGTTTTTTACTCGCACACCGGTAGTTATTGAAAGCAGTGATATTTCAAAACCTACGAAACATAGATTAGGCTGAAATTTGCGATAGTATTACACCAATCGGAACTAGTTAATTGTCCAAATATTGAAAATAATTTATAAATGTTTTATTTGGTTGTAAAAAGTAATTTTATAAAGAACATTTACAAAAACCCTGCTCAAGTAAGCCCTAGAAAATTTAAGGTATGTCTAGCAAATTATAATAGTATTTAATTATTAAAATGAGCATTGAAGAGCCATTTTGCTTCTAACACAGCAACCTGAGATGCTACATATCTGATAACACAATAAAAAGTTAAAGTAAGGCACAATACGTATACGTATCTCTCGACACGTAACGCAGAAACCTACGTTACGTCTGCCGTTGCGTTGTTGTGTAAACAAGAGTTACAACAAGTATTTTGACGTACCTAACGCAAATGGTACATTTGTAATTCTAAATTATTTTGTAAAACAATTTACTTAATTTTAAAACTGAAATGGATACCTCTTTTCCATTGATTCCACATTAAATTTATAAAAGTAATATCGAAAAATAAAGAAAATTATAAATGGAAATTATTTTATTACAGAAAGTAGTCCTTACAACTTAAAATGCTCTTAGTAATAAAAAATATTGGAAAACTGACACAGTTTTATGATTATTTATTCAGATTCAATCTTTTAGAATCCTCATATTATGAATTTTGGCTACGAACTAGCATTTAATTAAATAGATTTCAAAATGAGTTTATGATGCTTAATATTTTCATACTAATTTATTGTAATAAAATAGGCCCAGTTCTGTTACACTGGCCCCAAAATTTATGAAATAACTTAATTACTAGCCATTTGTGGAAATGAGTTGTTTGCGAATTTGTACGTTCGGCATCATTCGGGTGAAAATCGAAACTCCTTCGGCTCGATAAGTTTGCGTTTTGCATGTACGTAAAGGCACGTAAAGATACGTATCACGTATCCGTAAACGCAAGTGAATTTCTCACTGCGCAAGCGTATATGTCAAACGATACGTTTACATCTACGTCTTTGGCCGTGCTTTAACTGTCTAATATCTTCTTTAAAGTCATACACTCTTCTAAATCTTATATCACTATATTAGTATCAGACAGTTTTGTGTAGATGTACAGGGTGTCCAATTAAGAATGGACGCTAGCTGTATCTTAGAAACTTATCGTACCTATATCTTTGGTGGAAAATTGTAATAAGTAAATCGGCCAAGAGAAATCGCTGGAAATTACTTTCAAGTTATAAAAATGTCTGATAGGGGGCGCATCTGTGATGACCTATCAGAAAACAGATTTTTTCTCAAAAATATGCAGGTGAAGAGGTATTTTAAATATTGCTATTGCAATCAATGGAAAATTTGTATTTATTTTTGTATAGCGTATTTTGCTCTATCTCATAAAATAAAGTGGTGGGGGAAGGTTAAACTTGCTTTTATTAAAACTCTGGTTTGGATTACCCAATTTAAACAAACTAGGGCTCGTTAAAAATAGCTTTTCTTCCCTAATGATCTCCAGTATAAATTTTGTTTCCATAGATTTTTTTGTGCTAGCTAGAGGGCGCTGTCTGACATCGTAACAGATATTGCGCTTTTGCATAAAAAAAGAAAAAGCAGGTTATATTTTGTTTTACACTGTTAAATAGAGCACAAAATTTCCAAAATATCAACGCAAACCGCAACTTTCCAATTTACCCAAAAAAACAAACCAAATCTGTTACAATGTCAAATAGCGCCCTCTAGCTACCACGAAAAAATATATGGAAAGAAGATTTGTACTGTAGGTTATTAGAAGGAAAAGCTCTTTTAAACGAGTGCTAGTTTGTTTAAATTGGCTAACCTGAACCAGAGTTATCCTTATTTTAATAAAAGCAAGTTTATCCTTTCCCCACCACTTTATTTTTTGAGATAGAGCAACAAACGTTATACCTATCAAAAAAATTACAAATTTCCCATTGATTACAACAGCAATACCTTTTCACCTGCATATTTTTGACTAATCACAGATGCGCCTCCTAGCGGATATTTTTCGAACTTAATAATAATTTCCAGCAATTTTTCTTGGTCGATTTATTTATTACAGTTTTTTTCTCAAAGCAGTTTCTGTGATACAGCCGGCGCGGCGTCCATTCTTAGTTGGCCACCCGGTACATCTATACAAATTGTTTGCAATAGAAAAACGCCTTGGTATACGCACCTACAATTTTCTATAACGGTTTAATTTGAGCTCCAACTTCCAAAATATTTAATTTGCAGATAATATTTCTATAGCTAAGGTGTTAAAACATGATATGTTGCCAGCTACAGTATGATTGACGTAAACATTCTTTAATGATAGATAAATTTAATGCGATGTTTTAATATAAATCTGTTGTGTAATAATACTGAAAATGGGTGTTACAACAAAAAGGATTATTTGCATTGTAATATTTCATTTAACTACATGCATTTTAGTATACTAAATAAGTAAATAATACAATAAACCCAGAATCTCTTTATTAGCCTATTTAAAACACCTTTAACTTTTTTAGATCATTCGGCAAAATAAGCGAGTTCAAGTTTAAAGTTTTAAGAAACATTATTAAAATATAAGGTTAAAAGCCTGGTTTACATAGTAATGAATAAGTTAGACATTAAGGATCTCTCTTGTCTCAACCTTTTTGTTATAAAGGCCCCCATTCACTGGGCGATTTTGTAGCAAACAAGTTGAGGGATAAAATTGCTTCTAAATTTCTTGGAAATTTGGTAGCTTGGAACCGACCATTTATAAGGCGACATTCAAGCAATTTGGTTGTCAATCAATTTTTCTGGAAATTAATCGACAATTTCCGACATTCTCCTGTTCGCGTACTAAATAATAAAAATAGTTGAGCAACCCGGTCCAGCAAGCCGACGTCCACTGATTGGGCGATCCTCGTACAACCGCTTTAAATTGCTGGTAATCGCAACCCGATTCACCTTCCGCACTCTGTAAATCAAAAGATTGCTTGGCAACCACAATATCGCTCTCAATTTGATTGAAATGGCGCACTAACCTGGAGATCTTTCGCGTACGCGTACTAAATAATAAAAATAGTTGAGCAACCCGGTTGCCGACGTCCACTGATTGAGCGATGCTCGTAAAACCTCTTTAAATTGCTGGTAATCGCAACACGGTTCACCTTCCGCAGTGTAAATCAAAAGATTGTTTGGCAACCACAATATCGCTTTCAATTTGATTGAAATGACGCACTAACCTGGAGATCTCTCGACAATTTGATCGAAAGCGACTAGATCGCTCGATCGGATTGCTCGTTTATCGCCTAGTGAATGGCAGCCTTAAGATATTGAGAGGTATCAGAAACTTAAAAAATATTTTAAATGTCTTTATAAAGGAGTTGTTCTTATAACTAGGCTTTTATCTGGTAAAATTAAAGAATTTAAAGGCAGTACTACAATAATCAGATCATAAAATCGACTAATACCTGGGTATCGACTAATTTTTGAGCCCAAGTCGTACCCGACGTCAGTTACTCGATTTTTTGGTTTCGATTTAATCGATTTAACCGAAATCGACACTACATATAAATGTTTTTAGCGTTAATATACTACTTAATATGCACAACTTAAAAATAACCATATATTTGTCGTACGTAAACGTTATAGTGTATAACCTAAACTGTATTACTTAGCTGTGACAAAAAAAATCAGAAAAACGAAACGAGACAACGGTTGAAGATTGGTGCAGACCAACCGTGTCCGTTTGCAAAAAAAATGTTACAATCTATAATCCAATAAATTTTCGTATTGTATAACGTATATAAGCACATATAAAGTATCTTATATTATATTTATATATGTTGTAGGTGTAGGTAAATTAGTACGTGTATGATCGTGGAATAATGTGTCGATTTCGATACTAAAGCTAAATTAGATTTGCGAAACTATCTTGAAATGTTTAAACTTGAAGTCGATTTATTTAAAATTGTTACTAATTATTCCATGATTTGTATAAGAATAAGAAGATCGTAACGTATAATAATCTTTCTTCTGGGGGACTGGTTCACTTAAAATTCACAAACTTCACGGAGTAATTAATATGAGCAGTATTGACGATGAAGTATATATGAGCCCAAACCAATTTTCCAAAAATGAGATTGTTCTCCAGGTTACATATGATCTGAAATGTTGCATAATGCCAAAAAGTAGATTCTAAACCAATGAATTTCGACAAAAAAATGAAAAGTTGAAGGAAGGGACGAGGTAGTAGACAGACTGCTTACAAGACTTAAAGTAAAAAAGCCTACTTGGCGCAGATGTTAACAGAAGGAATATATAGAATATAGAAGGAATATATTGAATAACTACTGCCATTCACATGAACGGGCTAAAGAAGATGGAGGACTAGGAGCAATACAAAGCTTGTCTCTAAAGGGTTGGGTTGGTAAATATCTTACAGATTGAGAAGCATTTTGTCACTGATTTTGCAAACATTTGGATTGGTTTGACGTGGTCCAACGAGAAAAAAGAATTAAACAGTTAATAAATTTAAAAATATTTTTGTCGGATTTACAATGGTCGTTGCTTGATGTTACAAAACTACGGTTTACAATATAATTAGAACCTACGGTTCCTGCGTAGGTTTAATATTGATTAAGAGAATTAAAAAATATCCATTAATGGTAAGAGAGATATTGAATAGTTGCAAATTTACATGAAAGAGCTATAGAAGAGGTTAGAGGGCTAGGAGGAAGACAAAATTAGTGTCTGATAGTGGACTTGACTGGATAAAGAATAACTTTCTTAAAGATTGTGAAGCATTTGGTCACTGATATTGGAAACATTTGGATAAGTTTGACATGGTACAAAGAGAAAACAGAATGAATAATTTAAATAACAACTTAATGAAGAAATATTTTTCTTTTTATTGAGTGATAATAAATTTAAAAATATTTTTGTCGGAGATCACAACGGCCATTAGCATGTTAAGAAAAACAAATAATAATAATTAGAACCTAAGATTCTTGCGTAGGTATTAATACTGATTAAAAGAAATAAAAAGTATTCAATAATACCAGTCTAGTATCATCAGTACCAGTGAATCTGACATCTTGTCGAGATTTACCAAGCAATTTATCATATGCAGAAGAATAGTGAATAATCTTGTTTCTTTGTGGAAAAAGGGTTTGGCTCATGATCACTGATCGAACACATACGAAGCGTGATCGTAATATGGCCGCTCAATAGGATTGCAGCCTTATGGTGTGTTATGTCCATAATTTGGTCTTACCGAGGCAAAATAATAATAATGAATTAGATCGTTTTCGGAGTAAACCTTCGTGGCGAAGCTTATTAGGTTTGAGGAGATTTAGGTTTGTCCGAGGTTTTAACAAGACATACAGGCGAGGCACAAAAAGACATTTTTACTCCGAGTATAACAAGTTTGGTTTGGTTTGGTTTGGTTTGGTTTGGTTACCAATAAAAGGAAATTAATGAAAATACGAAAGAAAAAAATATTCGCATGCAAATAATCCCAAAAATTCAGCATTACTGTGTAAAGGCCATATGAAATTGGCCTATAAACAAATTGTTGTTAAATATCTGTAATCTAGGGCGAAAATATTATTGCTTTGCAATAATAAATGGAATGATTAAAGTAGCTTTGTTGTGGTGTCATAATATGCAGTTCTATTAGTTAAAATGGACGTGTGTTGCATCAATTTGATCGACTGGTATAGGATTTAGGTCAACAAACGTGTGTATCGTTTTCATCTCACAATATGACATATGACAGAGAAAAAAACACTTTAGTAGGATATTTAACACCTTTTTATTTTGCTTTTATTATATTTTATTTTTTAAAATTTATTGAATAGAAATGGAAAACTAAAATATACATAATATTTACTATAATGTATATTATCATATTATTTTGTAACATGCTGTTAAGTTCTTCTTCTAAAACAGTTGACTTTCAAAGAGAATAATTTATATACCGTGTGTTGCATCGCAGACCTGGACATAGGAAATGCCATGCAAATTTTAAAAATGATGAATAAGTTTTTCCCATTTCATTTTACAGAAAAATGTATTGGAAACTTTTTAAATAACTCCTTAAAATGAAGGAAAGTGTTCATTTTGAATGGTTTATACGAATTCGTTCTGGAGTTATGAGAGATACAAAAAGTACTAAATTAGGCTAAAATTTAATATAATACGGTCCTGGTCAAATAAACTTAACAATCACAAGTTATGTCACAATATAACAAATCTACTATGACCCAGAGCTAAGATGCTATTATATAAAATAGATAGGAAACTCAATACATTTCGTCCGGACCGAGCGGTGGCGCCATCTCGTGGGTCTAGTAACGAAATAAAACATAAATTTAAAATGGTTGGTTTCTATTTTTTTCACATTTTTCTATTTATTCAAATTGATTCAAGAAACCACCAATTTACTCGAATAAATGGATTTAAGTTTAAATGGCAAAGGGGCTATAACAAAAACACAAAAAAAACTATAAGAAACCATCTTTATTGAACTGTATATAATAACAAAAACAATACAGAAGATTATGATAATAAAATCTATCTAGATCTATAACAATTAGGGTAACCTATTTTACAATTAATTAACAATCTCAAAGGAAGAGAAACTTCGGTTATCGGTTTCTCTACTACCAGTAATACAGTCAGCAACACAAAACTTAAAAAACATTGTCTACAGTTAAAAAAATATGAAAAAACACAAGAACAGAGCCGTATACAAATCAAAAACAAATTTAAAACACGATCTACGGATAACGGCCAAAATAAAATATAAATTGACAACTGTTGACAGGTTAAATTTTACATTTGACCGTAAAAGCCAGGTAAAAACAGGTAAAAATTTAAATTTTGTAAAATGTTGTTGTAATTGCGCCCCCTCGTGCATCTAGTAATGGACTATCGGCTACAACCTGTCATTTCCATAAGAGTTTCCTAGGCATGATTATGACTTTCCTCTACAGAGATCTGTCAAAAATATTCTCAGTTCTATGAAAAGTTACAAAAAGTACGCTGTAAAAATACGGGGATATTTTATAAATCAAATATGTTCGTAGATAAGTAAACAAACTACTTCAAAACGAAAATTTGTTTATTAAACGCTAAACAATTCACAAAATTAAGAGAACTTGTTAATAATTAAAAAATGGATCAAATTTATTCTACGTTCTTCATCCCTGTCCAATAATTCTTGATGTTCGGAATATTTAAATGACTTAAAATTATGCTTCCTCAAATTCGCTAAGCAGTGGTACGATGCTTTTCGACTATTTCTCCAAGTATTCTGGTATTTATTTGGTTTTCATATTCCAACATCATATTTAGTTCATTACAAATTATATTTTGCACGTATACAATCAATATGACTTTAAAAAAATGATTTCTTTTAAATTTGGCAACAATAAAATCAACTTAACGTTAAAACATGAAAGTTGAAGGTGGCTTGTTTGTTATTGTAATCAGGACCGGATTATTTTTTTGATTAATTAAGCATTTTTTTATCTCTCATAACTCAAGAACGAATTTGTATTAACTATTCAAAATGCTTGATTTTAAAGAATTCTTTAAAAAGTTTCAAATATATTTTTGTAAAATAAAATGGGAAAAACTTATTCGTCATTTTTAAAATTGACATGGGATTTCTAATGTCCAGGTCGTCGATGCAACAGACTATATTAAAGCTTTTTTAAAGCTTTATTAAAGCAGCATTTCACCAAAAAATCAACATTGTAATAATAGTGTGAAGCTGAAACCTAAAATTTTAAAATAATTAGCATTGTTAGAATATGATATAAATAATGGCAAACAATAAAACATTGCTTCCTATACATCTTTGATCGTTTTTTTCTCTGTCAGATTTTATATTAGTCTTGGCAGAAGATACTTTGAAATCATTCCGTTAAAGAAGTAATATATGGCCTCATGTTACAATTAGTTCAGATATTAATAAGTGTAAATAGGACTTTATCGATAAAACTAATGGGTAAAGGTCCGTAAATACTGAATACTCAAAATTCAGATCCATGATAAGCTAGATAAATAAATTTAAAATCGCATCTAACGCTACGATCTGCAAGATATTTTTTCTCGCCCTGTATTCTTACATGCCTTTTTAAATACCTGCCTATGTTCAAAGGCACTTTATTGTCCTGACCCTAAAGGGAGGTATTTGGAAAAATGTCTTGCAGACGTGGCATTAAAAGGGTAACAAATTATTTTTTTTAGAAAAAAAGTACGTAATCAAAAGTAGATTTTGACCGAGAAGTCGACAAATATAAATAGATTTTCCTTTGCAGTGTAACTTGTTTGAAGCTATTTTTTCGATAATAAGAGTGTATTCAATTGCTAGTAGAGGCGATAGCCAAAATACAATACCTTAAATTCAATATATAATTTTTTCTTCAAAACGTTTCTTCGCAAATAACTGTCTAGAATAAGAAATAATAATTAACTATTTATTTATATAAGTTTTTACGTTATGTTCCTACAAATGTACAATTAAAATAAATAGGTATTTTCTGCTTTAATATACTTTAAGGTATTGTAATTATTGATCACATTATTAGAAAAAAATGAATACTTATATTGAGTAACGAAAGAAATATGTAACTACTCTAAATGTGTGATTCATTAGTAATGTACATAGTTTTATAACGATAGTACTTATTATTAATTATTACTGAAATGTTAAAAATTAATGTTCTTAAAATTTTATTTACTAGAGTTGTTAATAATGTTATTATTATAATCTATTGTAGATTGTAAAGTAAATGAAAAATGTGATAAAATGTTCTGAGCTAGTGTTTTATTTCAAACCTATTAAATGAATAGAGGTGAATATTGGCTGATAATAGAGGTAGAACCGTTGATTGAAGAAAACTTTCAATCAACGGTAAAGCCCCATACTCACACTTCGCTCCTTCGTCCCTTCCTCGCCTTACTTCCTCGTGTTACTTCCTCGCGTTCCTTCGTCCCTTCGCTTCCTTCCTTCGTCCATTCGATGCTTGGAAATTAGTCAATTATGCAACAACACACTACAAAATATTTTTAATATAGCAGCTACATGTTTAATACGAAATATCTAGTAACCTCTAATTTTTTTAAAAAATCCGAAAGGCATATAATTTTTATTTTATAAAACTGCAATTCTTTGTCGTGTCAAAAATAAAAATTGAATTTTAATAATATATTTTTTTAATAAATCCGAATATTTCAGTATCATGTACAAGGTATATCAGTATGAATGTACAAGGCGAGTCAACAATAGAGTAAAGTTTATTATGTAATTTATATCGAAACCATGAAATATGACATACTAATTAAACGTTAATGATGTCAATCCCCATTTCTTCAGATATTTTTGTAAAGGCACACTATTTCAATTTTTTTATTTTTGTCGCTACGATTACATAAATATGTACATGCATTTTTTCACAAATATGAAGAGAATATTGTTTTTTTGTTCCATTTTTTAGACTATTGTGTGTGAATTATTTTTATATCGACTGGCGATTGCTAGATGTACAGGATGTCGCGGATGTCCCTTTTTCGTATGTTTTATGGGGTTTCTGGTGTATGAGTAGAGATATAAAGATGCTGTTTTCACATCATTGTTCTACTTATTATGAAACTAAATATGCTACACACATATTTATCCTAGCCTTCTTAGTTCAAAGTTATTTCTTTCTTTTACTTTGTATTTTTTAATTAGTAGAAATTTTTGCATTTTTCGATAACCTTTGTATCTCGATTATCTTATAACTTATCGAAAAGGTGAAAAGGGTCAGTGATGGGCGGTGGGTAAGTACCCAATTTGTAGATAAATAAAATCTGGATATATATGTATATACCTGTAGAATATGAACATCTTAATTTTAATAAAAGGAGTTTCCGACGAGAGTTCGGATATTGGAAGTCTTGAATATCTTAGAAGTAGATAGACCTTTGCTTAATATAATAAAAGAGCTATATAAAGAAAATGAATCGTACGTTAAGATAGGACACAGGCTATCTAATCCAATTAACACCACAAAAGGGTTGCGACAAGGATGCAGCTTATCTCCTCTGATCTTCAACGCTTACGTCGAAGTAGCACTTAGGGAATGGAAGACGAAATGTCAAGGTATGGGAATACCCATTGGGGACAACACACTATTTACCCTGAGCTTTGCAGACGATCAGGTCGTGATTGCGCAGGACTCATACGATCTAGAGTTCATGACTAAGAGGCTTTATCAAGAATACAACAAATGGGGACTTCAGGTTAGTCTAAAGAAGACCGAATACTTAGCTGTCAATTCCAACGCTCGTTTTGAAGTCTTCATTAATGATAACGTCCAGATTCAACAAGTAGACAAATTTAAATACCTGGGTGCTACTATCAACAACGAGGGTTTGGGCAAAGAAGAAATACAAACCCGAATTCAGAAGAGCAAACAAGTTATTGGATGTCTTAACAGCCTCTGGTGGGACCGAAACTTATCTGCAACAACTAAAAAGAGACTTGGAAGAACATTGGTGGAGTCAGTTCTTTGCTATGGTTCAGAGCTATGGACTCTGAGTGCAGACGCGAAACGCAAAATCGAAGTTGTTGAAATGGACTACCTTAGAAGAAGCGCAGGTATATCAAGCCAATGGAAAAAAAGACAAACATCGAGGTCAGGCGTATCATGAATGCATCGGAGGAGACAGTACTGGATCGAATCGAAAAATCCAGCTTAAAATGGTTTGGACACGTTCTGCGTATGCCGGAGAACAGGTGGCCAAAAAGAGTTTTTCAATGGGCTCCCCAGGGCAGAAGAAAGAGAGGTAGACCTAGAAAATCCTGGAACGGAACGGTTACGGAAGCAATGGAAGCTCGTAACCTAGAAGCTGATGACGCTCTAAATCGAGATGTGTGGCGTAGGGTAACGGGAAGGCAGCAATAGGCTGTAGTTGGAAATGAGTATTAAATACTTAAACCAAATCCCGTTTATATATATATGAGTTTCCGACGACCGCATAGTAAATACCCGGTATAATACCGGGAATAGAAATATACCAATATATAATATCTACAATATATATATAAGAAATATTGTAGATATACTCGAATTCCTGATATTACTGGTATTATACAGGGTATTTACTATGCGGTCGTTGGAAATACCTTTTATAAAATTACTGTTCATCTAAATGTACAGGTATATACCGGATACCCTGATTTTGTTTTGTTCTACCTATTGAGTACTTACCCACCGCTCGTGTCTCGTTTTTCAGGTAGAATGGCAGTGACGAAAGTGTCTATTTCGAAAAATGACTCAAACTTATGTTCTTTTTTTTAAACAGGACACTCTATATATTATTTTTTATTTTATTTGTCTTGTTATGAGCTTTCGAAAATTATAATATACTCTATATTTATTTATTTAGCTACTGCTAAACGGCTCTTATTTTATTTAACTTAATTTTACGAGATAATTTTGCTTTGCATCGTGATATTTTGATAAACTACACGGAAACTGAACTTGTGCTGCTTTTAAATAACATGCCAATAACCAACATTTTAGGTCGAATAAATTAGTTGATTGTTTTGATTACCTAATTTAAACCGGCCGACTATGTAATAAAGTTAAATAATGCATTTTTACCCCGTTTATGAAAATAAGTATTTTAGAAAGCTCGTAACAAGGAAAATAAAATAATATACAAAATATCGTATTTAAAAAAACATATGTTTTAGTCAATTTAAAAAAAAACAGATTCCAACGAAGAAATAGTTACGTCACTGCATTCTACGTGAAAAACTGTACGGGAGACCGTTTTCACCTTTTCGATAAGTTATGATACAAAGGGGATCGAAAAATACAATAATTTCAGATTCGCCTTCTATTTTAGGTAGTAAGAGAGCTAGGACATATCTGTATGTAGCACCTTTAGTTTCATAAAAAAGTAACAGCGTAATGTGAAAACCGCATCTTTGTATCTCGACTCATAAACGAGAAGTCCTGCAAAACACACGAAAATGGGACACCCTGTACAGACGTACTGCCAAATCAAGAAATCAACTACGAATGAAATCCAAGATCGATTTATATATTTTATATATTTTAATATTTTTTGTGTTCGTGATAATTCCTTTGCTACTTCGTCAAAAAAACCGACAGTACGGCGAAGAAGCGTTTCGAGGAAGTAAACGGACGAAGGAGCGTTTTGACGAAGGAACGAAGGAACACACAGTCGCATAAAATCGACATTTCCCATAGTAAATATAAGATTTTTGGACGAAGGGACGTGACGAAGGAAGGAAGTGAAATAGCGAAGTGTGAGTATGGGGCTTAATACGTAGTTAACAACGAGAACAATGGCGTAGTAGGTACAGGAACAATGATGGGCAAACAACCGGTATATTGAAATTTGGGTAAATACCCAATGTATATACCCAGTATATACAATGTATTATACCCAGTATATACACCCTGTATATACTGGGTAAGTACAAGCTAAATTGAATTTAGTAAATACCATTACTACCGGTATACGGGGTCCGGCAATAGTGCGTCGGGCATCTG